GAGACTGATCTTTGCAAAAACACACTAAGTGGGTTACTAAAGTTACCCATGACAGACCTTTCGTTCGGTTCTGCTGAACCTCAAATATTGATTTCAACTCTTTTCTTTCCACTTAAAAGTGGCTGAGGCATATTGCAACAAACCTTAATAATTGCTGATCGAGTGCTAGCAATTATGGAGTTTTCTCCTTTTTATCTTTCTCCTTTCACATTCTAGTTTTATACTCAGAGAGATACTAAAGATCTTCACATGCAAACCAAATCAAGAGATGTTTACGCAATTGATTGAAATTTGACGGCTAGTACAGGGAGGCTTTGGGATTTTTGGTTTTGCGGTATTGACTGTTTTTTGGATCGGTTTTTTGGTTTTTGGTCCAAAAAGGTTCGGTTTTTCGGTTTTGATTATCAGAGCGGTTTGTGGATTTTATGTGTTTTTGCATTCGGTTTTCGGTTTTCACGAAAACTCTGATGTGGTTTTCAGTTTTTCCTTTTTGACCCCTTTAAAGGCAAAAATGTAGTGGTTTTGTCAGGTTTGCATGTGGTTTTCAGTTTTGCTGCCTTCTTTCATCGGTTTTTCAGTTTTGGAGGTTTTTTTCTCCGGTTTTGCGGTTTCCCAGAGGCCCCTGAATGCCCCCCTTCTAGTATGAGGACGTTTTGCCACAAGAAACTCTTCAGAATTGAATTCACTTGAGATGACATGTTAGAATTGGTTATAAGTACACTTTAGAAGGCCTCAGTTCAAAAATATGTTTTTTTTTAATAACTTGGGTGCATTTCATTATATTACCAACATTTTTCTTGGAAACTAAAGTTAAAATAATATTGCTTAGTTAAACATGAAAAAAAAGCCTCCCAAAAATTAGCCCTCAAATGTCTACCATATCCTTCACTACCATTTTTTAGAGATGCAGATCTTTAATTACGAGCTAATACTTGTATTCTGTTCATCAATTTATCTTAATTAATAAACTGCTGTGATTGTAAAATGAATTAATTAACAATTATTAAAAGGTGATCATAGATCAAGAGCTTTTTTATACAAGTTTTGCCTAATTTTGTGCTTAATTAATTCTCCCAAACTATAAAATAAAAATTAACTGTGGTCCTTGTATACAAACAAAGTTGATAAATCAAGTAATATTTTTCTTTTATTTTTAGTCCATGAGTGCCAAACTACAGACATACCTGATGAATGAAGACCACATTGAGATCCCGGTAACAGATCAGCATGTACTGAAATCTGACAAGTATTACCTGAATCAAGAATTATCTAAACAATGCAACACATAATAAAATATTAATTGCTTCTACAGATAAATTCAACTATGATGGAGAAAATTATCAATTAAGGAAAGAAAGTCATTGATATCTCATTATCTACAAGAACCCTACTGCACAAAATGCCCAATAAAATATGAAAGAATGTCATCACAGTACAATTGTATCAAACATTTACATAGAATCTTATTCTTTATCAGTCAATGCAAGTCTAAGCCCAAAGGTACTGATCTAGGAGAGATTCAATGCTAGTCAATCATAATTGAAAAACATTACAGAATCACTGTAGTCCCTTTTACTGGTAATAAAGTTTATGATTTACTAATTAGAGATGAGAACAATTCATATCAATATTTATATATTCATGTACATACATGTAATAGTCATTCCCTGTAGATTTTAAGTCAAAGCATCCCACAACTGCATTTAACTAATAATAGCTACAGTCACTATTAACAATATACCTCTGAGACTACTTTGGCTCTGTTACATTGATCTTCTCTTGTTCTTTGTTGTTCTTTTGTTGCTTGCCCAACATAACTCAGGGGTGGGGTTGTCTCTGGTACCCGTGACCATATAACTGGGGCCTATAAAGTAAAGTTTCAAGTTTTGCTCAGGTTTTGATTGGTGCAACTATCATCATATAAGGGAAGACACTGAGGGTTTCTTTCATTTGTGGGCTGCCCTTATTTGTGGCGTGGTTTCTGTACACTTCAAAAGTAAATTGTTTAAGCACAGTCATTTTAGTCATGACACTGTGCAAAGGAACCTGATAGGTTTTTTTCAATTATTTTAGGTCAATTAAGATAATACCAGTCATTAGGTTATTTTAGATAATTTTAGGTCATTTCAAACAGTACTCAAGGTCATTT